CTTAAATTTCTTTTCTGAAACCTGTACTCATACTGCATTTCCTCCTGGGGTCAATAAGAGCCCTTGAAGACATAATAGATGTAAACACGTTTGGCAATTTCTCAATGCCAGCCCAAAGCAATAGCACTTGCATTGCCATTGCTATTGTGTATGGACCTCAGGTTTCAGGGTGAGGGGAACATGGGGCAAGTGAGCAAAGGGAAGTGAAGATGTGGACTGGGGCATAGAGACTTCCCAAGATGCTTTGAGGGAGGCTATGCCTTGGAAAATACCACACTGGTTCAGAGAAGATTGGGGTTGCCTAAAAGCAGACCAAAGCTGCCTGGTGAGTAAGGAGGGAAGTAGGCACGTAGAAGCCATGGAAGCTCATTACGTGATCTTGCATCGGGTGTAAAAGTAGGACTCTAGTTGCCACTAATACTCTTCATTGGGAAAAATGTGGGCAGCTCTGTGGTAAGAGGCAGTACTTCCTGGCAAAATCTGTCGATCCATTTAAGATGCTCAGAACCCTGCCCTTCAAGATGTCTAAAATGCCTCAGCCAAGTTGGCCAAGGCCCTAGGAAACATTACATGCTGCTGAGAACAATGTGTATTGGCAGAGGCCACTCTTGTGCTCTGTGCACAGCCCAGTTCAACCTCAGATCACCAGGCACAACCAGCTGGGGCCCATCGCTGGTCCCAGAGCACCTACAGGGAGCACTCAGGCAGGAGCACCTTCCTGGGCCCCTGAAGTGGCATGGCTTGCTTGGAATGAATACCAGCATCAGAGAATCCAGAAGGCCCTGAGTTTAAGGTCAAACTTCACCAAGTCAGCTCTATTACCTTGAACTATTTTCCTTAACTATGACTTTTTCATCTGTAAAATGGAGCGATAGCAACCTCCGTCACAGGTTTGTTATAAGCATATCAGGTAACGTGTGTTAAATATCTGGCACACAGTAAGGGTTTGACAAATGAGAACTGTTATTATTTTAACTTAGCGGGGAGTGGAAAACAGACTTGGCTTTGAACACTGGTTTTGCCACTTACTAGCTGTCTGATCTTGGGCAGGTTACTTAGCCTCACTGAACCTCATTTTCCTTATTTTCAAGTGGGAGAAAATACTACTTAATCTTCAGTGGTGTTGTAATAATTAGAGTTAATTTAAGAAAGGTGCCTAAGATGTGCCTGGCACAAAGTAGTACTCAATAAAAGCTACCTACTATCATTTTTTGTAGATCAAAGCAGGAGTAAAAATTATCGATGTACGGGGTGTCAGGAGGGTGGGAGAGGGGAGGAGGGGATGGGTATATACAACCACAATGAGTAAGATGTGCAACATTTGGGGGATGGACACGCTTGAAGCTCTTACTTGAGGGGGGAGGGGGGCATGGGCAATATAAGTAACCTTAACACTTGTACCCCCATAATATGCTAAAATAAAAATAAATAAATAAAAATAAAAACAAAAAAATAAATAAAATAAAATAAAATAAAATAAATTATTGATGTTGGGTCATACAAAGCAAGTATGTGCAAATACAAGAAGCCATCTGAATTGTTCTGGGGGAAATAAATTCTCTTCTACAACTGGTGGCCTTGTTTCCCAAGGTTGGACTCTCTGAGCATGTGGACAGCCAGGGCTGAGGCTAGGACTGGCCCGGCACCTGAAAGGGTCGGCCCCTCCCCAGCCCTGCTCTTGTCCAGGGCCCTCCCTCATCTGTCCGTGTTCCAGGGAGACATTTTTTCCTCCAGCCTCAGGTCCCTCGGGGAGAGCTGAAGCAATAGGTCACTATTAGTTAAGCTGCCGCAGAATTTTCAGACCATGAGACTCCTGTCTCTCCCCACTCTGGACTGGCCCATCCCCAAGAACGAAAGGAAGCCAGGAGGTGGAGGAGGTTATAAAACCATTTTATATCCGTCCTGTTTTTAATTGATTTCACAGCAGGGGAAGAAAAATCGGAATCTTTCCCACATAACCTTTCGATGCGGGAGTTCTCTTCTGGTCAGGAAACCCATCTGGGAAGAGCCAGAGCGCGTCTGTGTTCTCAGTGTTCTTGCCCGAGGTCTGCGAACCCTGTCCCTGTCGGTACCCACCACGAGGGCTGCTCCTGTGGGTCCCCTGGGCACCCACATTACACACTGGCTTGGAGGCAGGCGTATAGTCTCACCTCTGCCCCAGGCTGGCCTGGTCTCCCAGTGGGCAATGCCTTTTCTGACGTAGGTGTAGCCCACGTGTCTGCTGGGCCTCTGGCGCCTTGGATTCTCCATACTGTTGGCTCAAACCCACAACCCCTGCCCTGTAGGAGCCCAAAGTCCTCCAGAGATTCCTGTAGATTCCTGTGGGGGTAGGGCTGGCTAACATCTCTCAAATGTTCTGCATCCCAGGGCAGGAACTTGGCCCCCCAAATGGTGTGTGAAGTGTTTTTTGTGAGGGTTTGGTGGTGTGAACAGCGGCCACGCAACGCACTGCAGGGAAAGCAGTGAAAACATGCATGTTTCTTATTTCCGTCCTTAGAGATGGTTCAGCCAGGAGTGGGGTTGTGGATGGGTTCTCTGTATTTGTCAAGTATTTTAAAATATAAACTTTGCCTCTAAGCAGGGGAACTCGGTGACTGAGAAACAAGGAGACAGACTATATGTCTTTTTAACTTTTTGAACTTTGCACCATTTACACATATAACTATTATGTGTGCGGACACACACACACACACACACACACACACACACACACTGTCCCCAAATATAGTTACTGCATCACTTACGCTCTCTCCCTACTCCAGCTGAAATGTCCTAGCCCCTTCTCTCTGCTGAACCAATTCTTCAAGGGCTGATTTCAAAAAGTCTTCTCCTACCCTCTCTGAACCCTGACAGAAATGAGTCTTGGAAATCCACTTATTTCCAAGTGGGATCCACTCACGAACTGCCTCACAGTGCCACTCTGCTTCCTGAGAGCAGCACTCGTCTCTACTCAGTTCCTCGTGGGTAGAGGCTCGCGGCACATGGCTGAATGAGTGCACGAGAAAGAAAGGCGGAACCAGACAATCCGTAAGGAAAGGGGCACATGGCTTAAACAAAATGCCCTTTGGAACCTGCTCGAGTGGCTGGTATTAGCTCTCACTACTCCCAGAGCCAGCTGGAATTACAGAAGTGAGAAGCTGCTTGTCGTTGAGCCGGTTACCTGTGTCTTTTCTGTTGCAAGGAGAAGACCAGCTGGGTCTGTTCTAGGCATTTTGGACCAACACCCTGACACAGAAACATGTACCTCTATGGACAGTTGTGGGCTAGGTGTCTGAGACTAAGACTTTAACAACTTTTTAAAAAAAATTAAGCAGAAAATATCTTATGAAGTGAATAGTCTTTTTTTTGGAGACAGAGTTTCACTCTGTTGCCCAGCCTAGAGTGCTGTGGCGTCAGCCTAGTTCATAGCGACCTCAAACTTGTGGGCTCAGGCAATCCTCTTGCCTCAGCCTCCCGAGTAGCTGGAACTACAGTTATGTGCCACCATGCCTGGCTAATTTTTTCTGTATATTTTTAGCTGTCCAGCTAATTTCTTTCTACTTTTAGTAGAGATGGGGTCTCAGTCTTGCTCAGGCTAGTTTCAAACTCCTGACCTTGAGCAATCCGCCCACCTCGGCCTCCCAGAGTGCTAGGATTACAGGCGTGAGCCACCGCGCCCAGCCTGAAGTGAATAGACCTTGCCTCTAAACAAGGACGAAGCAGGTGAGAGGAAAAGGCGCAGGGAGTGAGCAGGTGGTGCAGAGGGAGGGTGAGAAGCCCTGAGGACAAAGTCCCTCATTAACAAGGCACCTTCCCTGAGATCACACAGGGAAACCACCCCTGCCTTTTGAAAATGGACCCCAAAAAGAAGAGTGTCCCCTTCCTACAGCTTAACCCCCTCCCTAATAGGGACTGGGAAAGGTGGGGGGTTCCCGTTCCCCAGGACCCTTGGGCTGTTGAGTGTGAGCAGAACGCCCTTGGCCTGGTGCTCTCTCAACACCCTGCTCACCTCAGGAAGCCTCAGGCCTCCCAGGAGTATGGGGCCCAGGAATCCACTCCCCTCCCAGCAACACTCAGCCTGCCTCACCCTCCCCCCCCTAGCCCCCCAGCTCCTCATCTCTAAATCCCCGGGCACTGCCTTCCATCCGACACCTGGATGACTGCTTCAGTAGCCCAAAGCAAAGGCTCGTCTCTTTGAATGTTCAAACCCCACTTGCCTTAGCAGAACAACTGGTCTGCCACCAGGTCTCCCCCCCACCCCTGCCCCCAATTTCTGGGCATCCTGAGAAATGCAGCCTGGGTGGGCACCTGTCACTCCCACCTGCCACTGTGGTTCCACGGCCACATTCCAGTTCACCTTGGGCTCTCCTTGGGTTCACCTTGGGCTCTCTCCTAACTCATTTCTCCAGGATGTGCTTTTCCCATGGACAGATTCACTGCAAGTGGGGACATGACCTCCAGCCCCACCCCATCGTTGATTTTTGGAAACTTAACTCCCCGCCTAGAACAGATGGCAGTGCTTCCTGAATGCTTTTGGGACAACTGAAGTGGTTCCCTGTGTTCCTATTGGAGCTCACAGGCTCTAAAACCACAATCTCAGGGTCCTGTCTAGCTCCCCTCAAGCTGCCCCAACTCAACAAGAGTCTTTTGAATAGATCATGCCAAACTGGTCTAGACCCCTGACCCCTCCAGCCCAGAGAGCAGTTAGCATCAGCCCCTTCTCCTGGCCTCAGGCCTGTGCATGCTGCCCCAGCACGACTAGCCCCAGGAACCCCCATTTGTGTCAGGAGGAACCCCCTTTTCAATTCACCGGGGCCCAGATAAGTCAGACACTACTCAACTTGCATTTCCCGCATTATACCAGTTTCAACATTGTTTAGGGTGTGAAGGCAGAATAATGGCCTCCAAAGACATGCACATCCTGATCCCCAGAACCTGTGACTATATTAGGCTACGTGGCAGATGGGAATTATGGTTTCTGATGGAATTAAGATTGCTAATCAGCTGACCTTGAGCTGGGGGAGCACCCTGGACGACCCAGGTGAGCCCAGTGTGATCACAAGAATCCTTAAAAGTGGAAGCAGCAGAAGGGTCAGGGCTGGCTTCGAAGGCAGAGGGAGGGGCCAGAGCCAAGGACTGTGGGTGGCCTCAGAAGGGCAGAGGGGCCTTCCAGCCTCCAGAAAGGCACGCGGCCCCGCCAGCATCTCCACTGTAGCCTTGAGAGAACCACATCAGACTTCTGATCTACAGTGCTGCAAGATACTACATTTGTGTTGTTCCAAGCCACTAAGTTTATGGCAGTTTGTTGCAGCAGCAAATAGGAACCTAATACATGGAGGATACCAATAATTCAGTCTAAGTATTTTACTTTGGGAAAACTTTTCTCTAATGCTTCACCATTTAAAATCTCAGTCGGCAGCTGCCACCCTCGGGTTTACGACATTGTCACCATTTGTTTATTCCAAGACCAACATACTTTACTTTGTTGCAATGAGAGAGTTTACCCTGGTGACTTCCTTGAAAATAAGGAAATCTGTGCCAAAATTAATTACAGTGCCCATGTCCAAAAACCCAAATGACAGTTCCCTTTGCCAGCAATCCCCAAATGGCAGCTCTCTTGCTAAAATAACATAAACTTTAGATTCTTTTCCTCTAGAAACCCTGATACATAAATCATAGATATTTCTCCAAGTCATCTTCCCCGAATTCCCATTGCCACTGTTGAAGTTCAGGCAAGCTCTGTGTTCTTGCTTGAATAGCTGCAACAGCCTTGTCCCAACTCCATTCTATTTATCAAGACTAAAGTTAGAAGGATCTCTCTAGAATCTGATCACCCTTCTCCTGTTTGTAAACATCAATGACACTCCATTGCTGAAGCACAAAATGCTCACATGGCCTTCAGCACCCTGCATGGTTCAGCCCCTGCCCATGTCTCTGGCCTCATCTTCAGCACATGGAGAACAGCAGCAGGGTGGTTCTATCACATGTGTGGCCTCTGAGCACTTAAGTGTCAAGCTGTGGAATGGGCTGTGCAAAGCAGATCTCCGTTTTGGTGGAATTGAATGTGCAGGGCACAGCTGTGGCTGTTATGGGTTCAATTGTATCTTCCCCAAATCCATATGTTGAAGTCCTCACTCCCAGTATCTCAGAACATGACCTTATTGGGAAATAGGGTTGTTGCAGATGTAATTGGTTAAGATGAGGTCATACTGGAATAGGGTGGGCCCCTAGTCCAATGTGACCCGTGTCCTTATAAAAAAGGGACACTTGGACATAGACTGTCTCATACAGGGAGCACACCGTGTGAAGATTAGCATTACGCTACCACAAGCCAAGAAACTACCAGAAGCTAGGAGAGAGCCCTGGAGCAGATCCTTACCTGGAGCCTTCAGGGGAGCATGGTCATGTCGACACCTTGGTCTTGGACTTCTGGACTCCAGAACTGTAAGACAGTAAATGTTTGTTGTCCTAAGTTGGCCAGTTAGTGGTGCTTTGTTACAGCAGCCCCATGAAAGTAAAACAGGGGCTCCGCTGTTTCTCATCAGCTTTGAATTTCTCCAGCTTTTAGCATTGGTAAGACAGGGAGTTCTGGGTTTGGAAACGTGCACACTAACGTTGGGCTGGGTGAGAGTAAAGGAAGCTCTCATTTCAGAGGTCCACAAAAATCATTAAAATAAAAAACGAGAGTCCCCTGCCCTTTACACAACATCACACTGCTTCTCAGCTTTATGAAAACCAGTTGCTAAGAAGAATTCATCAAAGGAGACGGATTTAGTCAGTTTTCCCGCAATGGGTTGGTTTTGTTCTCCCTTTTGGAGATAATGTGAAGGACTGAATAACAACTCAATGAACGCATAACATTGAACTTTCCAATGAGGACAAAGCATGGCTTTAATCTCTTTACTTTGCTCCTGTTTCTTACTGCCGCACAGTTTACCGCAATCCTCATATTCTTCTAATTAAAACCTAAGCGGTCTTGACTCCTTGGTCCCAGTTAATAAGAGGTGAAGCCAGCTTGGCACGTCTGTGTTCAGAAAACTGCCCCGAGCAAGATGTGTGTGTGAAAAGGCTTTGCCAGGGAACAGCAAACCCAAGCAGCCACCCATTCCTTCCTAGCCGGGATGACTCTTTTCTGTTTGGATCCATGAGGCTCGACTGCAGGCAAGTCCCCACCGTCTCCTGGGAGGAAGAAGAGGAATTAGGCACAAAGGCCCCACTTTAGGTGGGTGAGGGTGATCTCTAGGCCAAGTAATGCCCATACATGAGGCTGATGCAGTGCAGGCCTGGCTTGGGGGCAAGAAGGAGGAACAGGAGGCAGGAAGACAGACAGCAGTGAGGGAGAGACCAAAAGGAAAGACAGAGGGAAGAGAGCCAACAGCTGCCTGACCCAGCATCCTTTGGTCAGGCCCTGGAGATCGTCCATGGGATCCTCAGTTCAGGCCTTGTCAGTCTGGCCATCCGGAGCTGGCTTTCCAGGTAGCAGGATTAGGCAGTGCAATGTAGGGGCTTCAGTCAAGGCCAACCCATGCCCTAAATATCCTCACAATAAGCCTGACATTTGCCTCCACTTTCTTTAATCTGTATGGATTAAGTCTTTGTCTTGATGCAAATAATTACATGCAAGACTTGAGTGTTACTTGAGGGGGGAGGGGGGCACGGGCAATATATGTAACCTTAACACTTGTAGCCCCATAATATGCTAAAAAAAAAAAAAAGACTTGAGTGTTCACGTGTTCCAGGCACACTGTTCTAAGTGCTCTGCATGTATTAACTGATTTAATCCACCATAGCTTTTTGTAGGTGCCATTATCACCATGATCTCCATATTTCAGATGAGGAAACTGGGGCACAAAGTGGTGGAGTGACTTGCCCAGTGTCAGAAAGCTGGTAGGTGGTAAAGCCAGATTTGAACCCCGTCTGGCTGGCTCCAGAGTCCACATTTTTTTCCATTGCATTATCCTAATTCCCAAAATGAAAACCAGTACATCAGGAAATTTACCACCACGGCTTTCTAAGCCATGTGTTGTTCCCTAATTGGGGCTTTTAGGCTGGGAGTTTGTTTTGAAGATAATTAATGAGAAACATTTGGAACCTTAGCCTCCGAGCGCCTCTCTGTCGTCCTCCAACTGGGTTCACTCACAATTACTGTTCACACTTTTGTGCCTACCCACACACACCCCGGAGGTGCGACTGTAAATCAGTAAGTTCGATTCCACAAACCGTAAAACGCAGCCTCATTACTTTATAATGCAGTGTGTGAAGGCAGGTCATCGACTGGGAAAGCTGTCACATCAATTACCGTCACCTAATTTGGGGACACCAGATTACAACACCGGAGGATAGAAAAGCTAGTCTGCTTGCCGCTGGAGTTTGCTGATACTTGTCTCTCAGTAAACACACTATCTAAGCTTCTAAGAATCAGTGGGATTACGTAACAGTATTAGTAACAAAAACAACAACTGTCATGAACATAGCCCTCTCTTGGGCAACTATTATGTGTTAGAGGAGATTTCTAGATCTGGAAATGACCTGTTTTGTTTTATAGTTGAGGACGCCGAGGCATAGAAGGAATAAGAATTCAAGTGATTTACCCAAAGTCATGTAATTAGGTCAATGGTTTTCAATCCTAACTGTATATGAAAATCACCTACAGAAGCTTCTAAATATGCAGGTGCTTGAGCCCCACTCCAGAACTGCTGAGTCAGGACCTTGGCAGATGGGGGCTGAAGGGCCTCTGCGGTTGGCTAGCAAGAAGCAGCGGTAGCCAAGGGTCCTGACCCCCAGGACAATGCCCCTGTCCCGACCCCCACCACCTCCCCCAACCCAGCCACCCCTGTGGCCTACTTACTCACCCTTCCTCATTATTCCCAGGACATGGAAAAGAAAAAGACAGACACATGGTCATCTCTGTTCCCCATTCACACACAAAACCTTTAAACATTTCCCACAAATGCATGGCCCCTACCTGTATCTGAGACGCGTACTATAGTGCATTGAAATTATCCCCTGACTCTGTGCCAAAGAGAGTGATGTCTTACAAGGAAGGGACCTCACTTCATTAAGTTGTGTATGCCAGATAACAGGCTCCATTCTTGGCACAAAATAGTTGCTCACTAAATGTTTCTATGTCAAAGAATAGAAAGGAGCATGTGGGGAAAGCTGCTGGGTGAATGAATGAATAGGAACAATTAGACTCTTCTACTTGCTGAGGTTATGTATTTCTGTCTGTGATAGGAAAGGACATGTGCTTTACTTAATGAATTGAGAATTGCTTAAAGGACCTCCCGGTCAACTGAACTGATGTGGGAGCGTTTCCATGATGCTGCAAACCCATATAGATGCCGGGTAAAATATAACAACAACAAAATGTGATTGTCATTATCATTTCCTAGCCAAACTCAAAGCTAAGCAAGGAAAGTTCCTAAGTCCCAAGGAAGAAGTAGAAACTCAAACCCATAAAATTGAGCAGGCAATAAAAGCAAATGGTCCACAGGAACATCAGATGCAGGTGCTGACATAGAAGATGGGTTTTAAGACCCCTAGGAACAGAGGATTAGGCCTCAGGCCTGCAGGTGATAAGAAGCAGAACTGACCTCTTTGAACACAGCTAAAAGCCATGAAGTGCTGTTCTCCCATGAAATAAGGGCTAGAAAAGCTTTGCCACTGGTCTAAGGATGGAGCAGGAAGTTGACCATCTGCCCAACTTTGTGGGTGGTGAAAGAGTAGACCTCCATAAATCAAACTTCCAAAACTGTACCATCTGTGGGTGTTAGTCACAATTCCTCCTTACCATAACTAAAAGAAGTTATAGTCAAAAAATAAACATAAAAATTATCTAAGAATGGACCCAGCAAGGCAAATGTGAACCAAATGACACAGATGCCTGCACAATGCTGGCTCATGGGACTCAACAGGAAACTATTCCAACTGAAGATGAGCTCATGGTATTAATAAAGTATGTCTAATTACACGAAGAAAGGAACTATCTTGAAATACAGTCAACAGATGAAATAGTTGGGAAAATTTATGCCCCATAAACTACAGATAATGGAACAATAGAAAAATGTTTTTAAATAAGTATGTTTAAATATTCAAAAAGAGAGGAAAAATAAAAGACAAAGCAATATCAGGACATTATGAAAAAGAACATGCAAATTTAAGAAAGTGCCATTTTTTGATATTATTGTGTACACCTGAAAAATACAATAAGCACTGAGTAGGAAACAATAATGGAACACAGTGAGGTGGTTGAGATAAAATTAACATAGAGAAATCAATAGCCTTCCTATATGAAAGCAATAACCACTTAGGACATATAAATAACAAGTAGACCTCGTTTATAATAGCCACAACAATAAAAATATAAAATATCTAGAAATAAATACAGTAAGAAATATTTAAGATCTATATGAAGAAAACTTTAAAATGCTACTTGGGGATACAAAAGATGACTTGAAAAAAATGTAAAGAGAAGCCCTAATTCTGCATAGGAAGCTGTCACAGAAAAATGTAAATTACTCCTAAGTTGACCTATTAATATAATTTTTTAAATATCAACAGCATTTTCTTTTCATTAGAAGTTGCCTTTAAAGTTCATAAGGAAAAATAAATATGCAAGAATAGAAAAGCAAAAGTATTAAGGGAGAACTAACCCTACCAGGTATTTATATTAAGCTATAATAAAAAAAATCAACATGGTTCTAGAGTACAAATACAAAAATAGGTCAATTATACAGAAAGTACATTAAGTACAAACATCTGTTAGAGTTTAGTATGTGGTAAAAGTAGAATTTAAAATCATTAAGGAAAAATGGTATTGAACCAAGTTGGGGAAAAAATTCACTGGTTGGCTTAATGGGGATTAGACACTACAGAAAAAAAGATAAAAAAAATTTGTTATGTTTTAGACATAACAATTGAAGCTATTCAGACTAAAGCACAGAGAGAAAAAATAAACACAGCCCCAGTGACTTGTGGGATAATATGTGCAACTAGAGTTTCAGGAAAAGTGTGTGGGGGGGGATGAAGCGAGAAGCAAGAGGAGTTCAGAAGTAAGATTTGAGGAAATAGGGTCAAATTTTTCCAAGCTTGATGAAAACTATATATTTGCAGATCCAAAAAGTTCAGTAAAACCCAAGTGAGATCACAGCCAAAACAAATCACATCAAATGCATTATAATCAAATCGCTGGAAACAAGTAACAAAAATAAAATCTCAAAAGCAGCCAGAACACTCACTCACTCTCTCTCTCTCTCTCTCTCTCTCTCCAAAGATAAAAATTCTACTAACTTCTCATTAGAAACAATGAAAGCCAAAAGAAAATCGAATGGCATCTTTAAAGTGCTAGAGAAAAACTATTAATCTAAAATCTATATCCAGAAAAAATATTGCTCAAAAATAAAGACAAATACTAAAAACATTTTCAGGGAAACAAAAAAAGCT